CACCTCGTGTGCCGTGCGAGCAGCGCGCGCTCCACCTGCAGCGCCGCGCGGGGACTGAGCGGGCCCGCGTGCGGTGGGAGCGAGGGAGGGCGCTTTCAGCACCGTTCACGTGGGTTGGTCTCGGGAAGTGTTGCAGTTGAGGGAAGAAAATAAAACGTTGCTAATAGATTTGGCTCTAACCTAAATGAGGGCAATTATTAATGCACATGCACGGCTCTTCTGTGACTCTTGCAGCACTGTACATGCATGATGCGCCTCTCCCAGAGAGTCGTGGGCTATAGGTGCTACAGTCCTTGTTTCAGGCAGAAAGCCTGGGCAGCCTGAGCGATGTACCCGCATCAGAGATGGTAACTCTAGGGCAGAGTCAAGTTTTGGTTTACCTTTTCCAGCACCACTCAGTTCCCACACCATCCGGTGTGATGGGCTCCCTTTCCCTCACCAAAACTGGAAATCCACATTATGCAGCAGGGTCTCTTCTGGAGCAAGCACCGCAGCTGCTGCCAGTTGTGCCAGACTCGCCACCACCGTGAAAGAGCTGGAAACATCAGACTTGCAAGAAGGCTGTCATCCTTCTGCCTCTACAGACCCTACACACCACCACCAAGAAATGATTCCCCACCACGTGCTTTCATGTACTCTTTCCACTCGTGATGAAGCCTGAGAGAAGCTCACCCAGGTGGCTGTGCTTTGCCAGGATCCAGAGCCAGGAGGATTGGCACTGGAGCCAGCCTACGCTCAGACATGTACCAGAATAACAGAAATGGCTTAATTCATACCTTTTGGTATTTTGGTGCAGGTCCTCGTGGGGTTGCTTAGGTTAGAACAAAAGCATTCTGTTTTAATTGTGCTTAATTATAGCCTGTCTACGCGCAACCACTGAACTGCTTTAACAGTGCTGGCGCAGCTAACTCCCCGGGATACGGATGCAGTTGTGCTGCTTTCAAGCTAACACGGCCTATTCTTGCCAGTGGTGACCTCCACAGCAGCCTGCTGTGGTGCTTGTCCCAGGGGCTGCTCCGCAATCCTGCATGACCCTGCAGCCGCTCAGGCGCAATGTCTCAGGGTTTGCTTGGGTCAGCATTAGGCTATTAAAGCCCAGGAGATGCTTCACTGGATGGATGAGAAGGCTTGGCAGAGGGGCTCTGCTGTAAGTCTGGGACAGTCAGAGAGAGCTGTGGTGTGGCAACTGCCCAAGCAGCAAAGCTGTTTCGACAGTGAACCACACAGCTTGGGGTAGGAGTAGCCCTGTGTGGGTAGCGCCGATCAGAATAGCTACCCAAGGACCAAAAGTTGTTATAGATCGTCCTACCTCACCCAGGCAAAGAGGAAATGAGGAAATGAGACACTTGTTCTCAGTTAAAAACAAATAGTCTCTCTCTGGCCATTTCTGTTGTGCACCGTTCTGAGTCTGCATAGAACTGCATCCCTACACTAGACAAGGCAGGCTTTAAAAAAATTAAAAAGATGTTTACAAGGGCAAGAGGTAAGACTTGTGGTAACTCCTTGTGAGGGTTTATTCCTCAGTCTCTGAGCAGTGCCCAAGAAACATGAGTTTGGATTGAAAGTTCCCTTGAGCCTGAAGAGCAGAGTTGTCAAGAGGAGCCTCCATCCTGGTGTGTAGATGCTTGCCACCCTTCGCCTGCAAAGCCCAGCAGTCTGTAGGTCTCCACTGCTGGGAACTCGGAGGAACTTTCCACCTCCTTGAACAAGAAATCAGTGAAAATTCCATAGGACAGAGTAGGCTGACACCACATTTATGCCAGGAAACAAATAGAAAAAAAGAAAAATAATTAAACTTGAATGATTAGGGTATGGATTGCTTTATTAGCAAATGGATGTTAATCTTGACAGCATCCCATAAATTGTCTACCTTGATAGCACTGTGAAATGGCATGTGGGCTGATGCTGGAAGTCAATGTAGGGCAAATGCCACCGTGCTGGTCATCTCGGACAGTGCGTCATGGCCCGTTGAAGCGATGCAGCAGATGGATTTCCATCTTTTTTGCCCACCATGCCAGCTGAAAGCAGGCGGACGTGCTGTGCTCTCCAGTGCCAGACTGGAATATGACCCAGCTGAGGACACACGGATGTGAGCAGCTCCCTGGCTGTGTCTTAGGGCACATTCATTTACAGATACATGATGGATAGTTGCTGTCCTCGGAGCTTTTGGCCACGGCACTCCTAGCACACAGGCACATCTCACAGGTTTTAACCCTGTTGTTTTCCAAGCGCTGAGCTCTTGGATAAGCAGGCTTAACCGCGCAGAGGTCAACAGTGTAGCAGTTGTCTGGCTCAGGGCTGAATTTGCCCCATTATCAGTGAGCTCATAGGAAAGCTCTCGCTCTATCTCTCGTGCTCGTGCTAGTCAAATATTATTCTTCAAGAAAAATGAGAGAGAGGGGAAATTATTTTATCAAGACGTGAAGTAGGTCATTGTTGTATCCCGGCTTATCATTTCCCCTGTGGTACAGGAAAATACGAGTTGGACGCAGGCCTTGGAGAATGAGAGCTTTCTTCTTTTTATTTTTCCTCACAGAAACTCGAAAAGCCCCGCAGGGTGAGCGGCGAGGGCGCGAGGCAGCGGCGGCGCCACGCGTGGCATGGTGCACCGCGGCCTGCTCGAGGGGAGAGCGCGGCCCGCGCTGCGGCGTCGCGCCACGATCCTGCCCTTCGCCAGGAGAATGGCCCCCCGCTCTGAAAGCAAACGCCTGTGAGGAACCCCTGCGTTTTACAAAGGGCAGGATCCCGGTGACACTGTATTATGAGATATACTATGTAGAAGTGTTTTTGTTTTCATTATATATTTGAATTGTAACTTTAAAATAACATTTCCAGGACTACTTTTAAGGAACATTCTCATCACCCAAGACAACCACCTCAGGGAAGTTTCCAGTACCTGAGAAGTGGAATCAGTAGCGGACACTTATTAACTCCATAATATCTTCCCGCCCCTCAAGTGGAGTTGTGTTTGGGAAGACACTATCAAAAATTCAAAGGCAAAAAGGATTGTTGAGATAAGCATGAAAAAAAAAAAAACCCACAAGCAAACCAGGCCAAAACATAATAGCTTCAAGCCTCACGAATTCCTGTTAATTCAGGAAACAAAGTAGCCCGAGCCTCCTATCTGCGGCGGCTCTGCAGGGATATCACCATGGGAGGTGAGCTCTTTGTCTTGCTTTCAAAACCCTCCTCATCCAATCTTGGCTCACAGCTGCTGGAAGGTCATAAAGTTTGTGTGACGGCCGCCAATTTGCCACCTCGTCCCGGAGCCCCTCACCGCCCTGGGGCTGCCCCCAGCCCTTGGGGTGCACGGGCGCCCGAGCTCTCCTGCCTGTCTGCTCGCCCCGGCCGCTCCTGGCTGGTTATGATGGCAGTGGCACCAGCAGGGCAATGGGCACTGCTGGGGACAATCATCTCAGCAAAGGTGGCCAAGGGTTTCCATAGGCAGTATTGGCTTTGCCCAACACCCAAATAATGAAGGTATTGATGCTGCCTTTGCTCCGTGACGCATTGCACCCCCTTGTGCTCCTGCTCACAGGGCCTTACAGTCCACCATGCTATTTCTGCACCAGCACTGCCTGTTTATAGGGACAGCCAATAAGCAGGAGGCAACTCCACAAACTGAGCTGGACAGCTTGAAGGAGAGAGGAGAAGAAAACATGCTTTGGCAACATGCTGTGCATGGGTGGGGACGGTGAGAGTTGAACAGAGACCTTGTTTTGAACACACATCTCTGAGGAACCTGGAGCAGAGAGGGTATCTGCAACATGGATCTTCTTTGCCCTGCTCTGCTGTTATTGTTGTTGTTGTAGTTTTCCTCCCTCCCTCCCTCCCTCCCTTCCCTCCCTTTTTTCCCTCCCTTCCCTCTCTCCCTCCTTCTTTTCTTTCCTTCTTTCCTTCTTTTCGTGAATCACAGTTAGTTCTCCATGGCATTCATGCTCTCCCTAGTCTGAGCCTAGACTGCAAGCCACCATCTCCCATGGACACTCTCACCCCAATCTTCAGTGTCATAATCTGTGTTTCTTGACTCATCTGTATCTCATTGATATTTTCTGTACACAAGAAATTATTTGCATTTTCCTTACCAGCCAAGTTAAAAGACCCTACCTATTTGCCTCTCAGGATTATGCCAGACATCTGTTTTATTTTCATGCTGTGAATGGAGATGGACCCTAGCAGCCCATGCGCACAGCTCCTCCCTAACCAGCATTTATCGCACACCTTCGTGCACCTCAGCTTCGTGCTGCACATGGACACCTCACCTCACCTCACCAGGCCTCGGAGGCCTCAGAGCTGTTTCAAGCAGGAGCCACGTTGCAGAGCAGCCTCCCAGGCATGGTTTTCTCCCCAGAATGTGCATCCTGGCGGCACAACAGTTTTAAGGACCCAATCATGCAGTGTGAGAATGGGCGGTTTCAGGGGAAGATTCCAGGTTTGCAGTGGGAGATGGAGAACTTGGTTCTGGACCTAGAAATGGTAGAAAGGCCAGACCTAAAATTGCTGACACTTTTATGTGTCAATAAAGTAAGTGCAGGGATATTTCCTTGTGATATTTTTAAATGCAGGGCTGTATTGAAGAATAAGGCCCCAGTTTGCAAATGAGCTGTGAGAGAGGATGATGTGATCAAAACTGCTGGAGCAATGAGAAGAGGCAGCCAAAGGGCAGCCTAGAGAGGCAGAGTGAGAGCAGCTGAGGGAGACACTGAGGAGTAAATGAGACAGAAGGAGACAAGTCCCAGCAAAAGCTTTTTTTGTCAAGAACTATGCCAACATTGCCATAGGAAGAGAGAGAGGAGAACACGAGAGAGCAAACTATATGGGTTTCCCATTCACATAAACTATGGATTTTCCATACGCATAAAGAACCAGCACACTGAACAGCTTCATGATGCTGAGTGATGTCTTACAACGCTTTTATAAGACAAGCCCAGATCATGCTGCAATGGTCAACAACCAGTGGAAACAGAGATTGATATTCTGGATATCTTAACCTTCTCCCTGTCATCCTATGGGATAGCTCCTGGGGCACTTCAGGGTGGACCATACATGTTCTTGCATCAACCCAAGTCTCATGAAGGTGCAAGAGCAGCTTCTAACCAGAAAGATTTCTATGAAAGCGCTGTGAGGTGAGGGGCGAGGAAGTCCTATCTGCTCCTCAAGGAGCCTCCTGTGTTGACTTCTACACCTACCCTCCCAAGTCAGAGCAGCTCCAGCTCACGGATCTGTGATGATGTGTCTCCATTTGGCCCACGCATTTTGAGCTGACTGCTATTAAAAAAAAAAAAAGAAAAGAAAAAAAAAGATTATTTCTCCTGCTGTTTTCTTCTCTGGCTGCAACATTTTGGTGTTGCATGCAGAAGAGTCCCTTGGCTGCTGAAATTCCCTGTCCTTTTCCAGTTTTAAAAATCTCTTCTGCAAGCAGTTGCTCTGATCTTGTTGGTGAGGATTCAGCCCTGGCCTGACCCAGCACAAGTGTCGGTTTGCTTGCAGGCGAGCAGGCTGTGCTCCACTGGCAGCCACAACCCTGAGGGCAGCTGTGCAGAGGGCAAGGAGCCTCCGCTGCTCCTTTGCTGCACGGTGAAACAAATGTGGGGGAGAAAAGGCTGTGATTCACTTGGGGTCGGCAGGAAGATTGTCTGCTTGGAGCAAACAGGCTAGCAGATCCCTCCATGCAAATCCGCCCCATCAGGTTTCAGGTGTTTCCGAGTGGAAGGTCCCAGGCCAGTGGCCAGACCAGGTTTCACAAGTCCCAGCCTGACTCCCTGGCCTGACTGGCACAGCTGGGAGGAGAGTGGGTATTTCTGAACACGTTGTGCTTTACCTAACTGCCAATCTGCTTGGGATAGGCGCTTAAAGTAGGATGCTGCTTGTGGATGAAGTAGGATGCTGGTTGTGGATGTGGTGTTTCTCTTCTTTTTCCAGGGGCGAATAAAGATATTCAGTTCCCAGGTCCCCAGGCCAAAACTTTCAGGTATAATAGGTGCACCCAGTCAGAGACAGAAGACAGCCACAATATAAGTTATCTTCCTTTCAAGGGTCCTGTCCCTACCTGAGAGCCCTTTGCTAGCTATTTCGGTAGCAGCCAGTGTGTCGGCTGGCTAGAGCACAAGGGCAGGATCAGGAAATCACCATTCTTGTCCCACTTTTCCTGCTCACAAGCCTCTTTTTGCTTTATGATTTAGACAGATTTAGAGGGAGAGAGATGCCAGGGCAGTAGTACCAGCAGAGCTCCTCACAACAAACCCTTCCAGGGAAAGGCAGCTTATATTGTCACAACCGTGCTTTCGCCAGCCTAGTTTAAAGCAGTTATCCGAAATTCAAAGGACTCCCTTGCTGGGTAACTTTGCCAGACTGGTGTCCGCTGCGAGCCAGGGAGGGAGGGAGCAAGCAGAGTTCACGCGCCTAGAAACGCAGCCGTGCAGGAAAACTTGTAGCATAAACTTAGCTCCAGTTCGTCAGCGAATGAAAGATGTTTCCTGCATGTCTCGAGGTCCTTGCACTAAAGATGTGCAGCAAGGGCAAAGCATTGTTAGTGGATAATAATAGAGTATTGACTTCAAACCCACCTCTGCCATCACTTTACTGCTCTCCACGCCTTTGAAAAAGAGTATCAAAGCTGGAGAGACGAGTAAACTAAATACAGACCCCTCCCTACAACAACTAAGGAGAGGGGGGTTCACAGAGGAGTAATCTAGGAGCTTTGAACGCCAGAATCTGTTAAGTATAAATGCAAACCATTAAAATGCACTACAGCTTCCCCGCTAAAGTGAAGGCATTGGGAGCGGGAGATTAATAGGTCGCCAGCTGTGCGGGTGTGATAAGCCAAGCGAGGCCCCGGGCGCTTTCGGCCCGGAGCAGATTGAGACCGCAGCAGGGACACTTGGCAAAGCAGCACGGGACCCACACAGGCACCCCGGGCACGCATTCCCCGTGGCCGGCTTGCGGCAGTGGGAACGGCGTGGGAAAGAGGCAGCAAAGTATTTGCCTGAGAGGAGGAGAAGAAAGTCCCAAAGATTTGGGGTGGACCGTGCGCATGCATTTTTAAATGCTGCTGCTGTTCTGGGAAATTTATCACTGAAAATGCACAGGCAAAATCACCCAAAAGGAGCTCTGCCCGCAGGCTGGTTAGTTGTTTGCTTCCCTTCGGTTTTGCATCGCCGCGCCAGCAGGACCACTGCCTGCCAACACTGTCACCTAACGGGAAAGTGCAGCCTGTTAGAGCAGCACAGAGCACAGCTGTGATAACTACCCCATCTCGTCTGATCTGGTGCAAAACAGGACTCAGGGGAGAGGCAGAAGGCAGAAATCTCAGGCTTTCTGCAAGGTGATTCTCCTGATTTCCCAGAACTCCATCTCCTTTGCAAAGCAGACTGTCCCAATTACCTCCCTTGGCTTTTGCTTCACTTTCTGGTTTTATTGTCTTCATTAAGACTAATTAACAGAACGGTGGATGAGGCCCAGATTTCTTGGATGGACTTTTTTGCTGGTTTTGGTAGGATTTTTTTTTTTTTTTTTTTTTTTGCTTCTAGACTGCTCTGATAACAGAAGAAAAACATCTTTCCTCCCAGAGGCAGTGCGGAGAAGACTCAGCAAGGATAACAATAACTAGGGAAAGGCCCTAAGCAGCTCCCACGTCCTCGCTGGGGTCCGACCTCGCCGCTCCACCCCGTGTGTGTGACGGGCCCTCGTGCGTCTCGGCCGGGCGCCCCGGGGCCAGCAGCGGTGCAGACGCTCCCACCACGTGGGCTCATCCCTGTGCCAGGCCCGCGGGGGCTCAGCCCCATCCTGCCCATCGAGCCGAGGCTGCGGAGGCCCCGCAGCTCCCCGGGGCTCTGCAAACCTGCACAGGAGGCAGGCGAGCCTCTGGAGGGCCTTCAAAAATGGATCTGGCAGCTTGCTGCAGAAAACCTACGGGAATCCTAAAGAAGAGCTCCAATCATGACTTTTTTCTTCAGATATCAAAATACCAATGCTGCTTAGCAAAATTACAAAATGCAAATATAGATTTAAAAATGCATTCTAACACAAAACTCTTGGATAAAGCTCAGTTTAAGACACCCAATTCTCTGCATTCACCGTCAATGACACTGTGGGCCAAACCACCTGTTGGGAATGACCCACACCAGCTCCCAAACATGCCTGGGCACCGTCTGTGAGAATAGTAGTTGATGTGGGACAAAATCACACAAGGACAACACGAACCATTAGCATGGGCAAGGGTTGGGGCTTGTGCCCTGCCTCTGCTGTGTTTATTCATATACCATGCTAGCCTACACCAGCATAGACGGGGAGCCTGTGATTAAGGTCAACAAAGTACCCGTGAGGAAAAAGCCCAAGGTGTTTAATCTGCTTCTGTAAGGGATTTTAGCACCTGGCCTCTGGCCTTTTTTGTCTCCTCTCAGTCCAGAGCAGGTGGTGTTGATGCAAACAGCAGAGTCTTGTGAAATCTGCGAGGAGGCTTCTCCTTTCCTGCAGCCGCACTGCATTTCCCGGCACGGCCGCGCTGCAGCGGCTGTGCTCAGCGCCCCACACGGTGGGCTCTGCATCCCCACATTGGGCTCAGCGCCCCACGCATTGGGCACAGTGGGCACCACGCTGCTCAGGGCACGACTGGTTTTCGTGCAGTGCCCAGCGCGGTGAGTCCTGGCTGCTGGGCATCGCTACCAGCCCAGCAGATGCGGCTGCTAATAACTAAAATAATATGACTTGGTTTAAGACGGGCCGGCCTCACCGGCATATAATGACCCCAGCAGCCAACTTACCAAAGGGAACAAAGAAATGATTATAGATTCAGGGAAAGAAAAAAAAAAAGGCTAAAATAAAACAAAGAACCATTGACAAGAGGCACAAATTGGTTAGGTCTTAAGTGTCGTGCCCCATCTGATAAAACAAAAATGTCCAGAGCAACAATTAAGAAGAAAGACTGAAGGATGAAATATCACTGCTCAGCCCAGAGTACTGACTATACAGAGAGCTCTTTTTTTCGTGCGTGGGGTTATCATGGCTCTTGGTTAATACAGAGCTGGCTGCGTGCTTAGGCTGCAGTTGCCTTTGCACATGCCTCAGGATGCTGGAGGGGGAGCAAAATAACAAGTGCAGAGGGAAGGCGAGTGCACCTGGGAATACGGTGAGGAGGGAGATCTCGGCGAGGAGCCGGACGCACTCTGCGGTGCAGCATGCAAAGACAAAACCACTGAGGCAGGAAAGGCAAGCGTGGAGCACCCTGGATGGGCTGCTCCAGTGCCCAGGTCGCGACTAACCCTGGCCGCCAGCGCGGAGTGGAGGGTGGGCGGCCCAGGTGCATGGGCTGTGCAAGCAGCAGTGCAGCAGCAAAGGCACCATGAAAGCAGCAGTGCAGCTGCAAGGGGGCCGTGTGAGCAGCGTGGCAGCTGCAGGGGGGCCACGCGCTGGCTCTCGCCCCCGTGCTGCCCAGTGCAGAGTGTGGAGAGGCAGGGGCACCGCCACAGCAGCCTCTGCAGGGTTAGAGCCACATCGGAGCGAGCGGGGAGGGCCTGTCCTCCACAGCACGTGGAGGGGGTAGAACATAAGCGATGACCCTGTGTTGGAGGAGGAGAGCTCCAGAAAGATGTCAGGGAAAGCTTTCTAATGGCAAGGACAGCCACACGTGGCAATTGCCTCCTGGCCTGCAGAGTCACCATGAGGGTGGGACGCACTTGGCAGTCGGGAAGAGTTCAATACAACTGCTCTTACAGCAGGGCAGGAGGGACATGCTAGTGTTTCCTGAGAGCTTCTCCTCCCACTTTACTTTTGAAAGCAATCCAAGGACTGCCAAGCCCCTTTCAAGAAGTCAGCCATGAGATGTAGCTGCGAGCCTGCAGACGGACAGCCAGATCCTTTCAGATGCCGCCTGCTCTGGATTACAGGTTACGCTTTATCAGAAAGATCAGGAACAGCAAGTAGCACTTGCCTCACCCAGCTGAGTGCTTGGAGGCAACGGTGGGTTTTACCTGAATTACACCATGGAGTTCCTGCTTGTTGTCACTTTAACAATCTCTGTTTGGGTTGCCTTTTCTTTGGCTTTTTCCTTGACTGCTGCATTTCCAGATTCAACTTGTGCCCTCAAAATCGGTCTGAATTCCTCCTTCTTTGACAGCAGCTACTTGTGTCATAGATTACCCAGTCAAAGCTCAGCTAACCATTTTCTTACCATGGTATGAAGCAGAAGAGAGAAGCCCTATCTTTACCTTTGCTGTATGAGCTTGTGTAGTTCAAATAATAATTAAAATTTTTTTGGTCAGTAAACTGGGCAAACATTAATTGAAGATGAACAAATATAAACATGGGCTGGGCAGAGGGTGCTGATACACTGATGACATGAGGTTCTGCAAACCCTGTTTTTCTTGCTTCACTGCAAGCACCAGAAGTCTCTGCTGACAGGCTGCCTCCTCTGACTAGGGCTCCGCTTGGAAAGAGCTCCTGCTTCTGCACAGCTCGTCCTTCAGAAGGTAAATGGCAATCATGAATCGTCCCACTTAAACAAGAGACCTATTTCGCCTTTTCACTATGCTCATAAAAACAATAGCAGTGCTGAATACACCTGAAGATCAAAGTCCTGCTTTGCAGAACAGAATCTGTGCACCAAACCGACGGGCTTTTTACAGATTTGTTGCTATGGTGCTATTGCCTTGACAAGTTAAAATATCCTTCGTTGGTCTCCGTGGGAGTTTACACAGAGGAGTAACCATCAACAATACCCGAACATTTCCTTGACTACAGTCACCCAAGAGTCTTTTTTTTTTTTTTTTTTAGAGCTTTAATCATCCTTAACTTCGTGTTTGGCTATTAACCCACAAACTGATCATTAACTATAGGTAATGAATGACTGATTTCCAAAGGATTGTTCCAAAGCTGGGCTGGTTTTTCATTTTTTTCCCAAATGACTTTAATATCTCCCAGCAGCACACACACAACCTATTGAATCCCCCTTGAGAATCCGAGGCTAAATGGGGAGCTACTCGCAGGTTATCTGCCTATAAACATGCTGCTCAGCACTGATAAACTCACTGCTGCTGCATCCTGCTTTCCAGTTTAACTCAAGCCTTACTAAGTGGCAGGAGGAACCTGCCTGAATCGCTGTGGGTCATGGCATGAGGTCTTTAATCAACATTCCCACTTAGGTCACCCGGAGCTTAGCTGCCCTGAAACCCCAGCCAGGGCTTTACTCGTGTTTACCTGAGTGCTTGTCCTTTTTACTTCAGCATAACTGAGTGTGGATACATTTAA